TGAGTGGGCGAAGTTTGATACCTTTTTTTCTGTGTGATTTCTATTGTCTTAGTTTCCAGTAGCTTTATACTTGGCACTTAGTACTATAGGCAGAGGAGACTCGAAGAGCAGTCGTGCGCTATAATGAGGTTATTATTTTCCCGCGATGTCCTATCTGTATTTCGGCTCTATAAAGCAGTAAAAAGTGTGTGGTTAATATCAGCAACTTTCTTTTACATTCCTTAACTTCCCGAAACAACTCAATGATGATATTTTCTTGGTGCGATTTTCACGGCGAGCTCTATTAGTGAGGTACAACATCTGGGTCTGGCGAGTTATTATTTTTTAGCTCGGTCTAGCCTCATTTGTCTGAATTTTTATTAATTTTTTTTTTTGGCTGGTTATGTTTCCGTCGAATTCACCACTTAAATTTTTTTTTTTTGTTTTGTACAGTGAACGGCACTATTCAATCCGAATAGATTTTGAGTCGATGAATTTAAAAGTTGGTTCCCTTATACTCATCTGAAACAGTTACTGCATGTTGAAATACATTTATAGTAAGTTGTTTTTTCCAGATCGAAAAATATCAGAGGCCGCCAATTTTCGAATTCCGACTTCAGATTCGGATAAAGCGCCTATATTTTTTTTTGTGCTTCCTTTCATCTTCTTAAAAACTTCTACTTTTTGAATTACTAAATTTTCTTCCTTTCTCCACTCTTTCCAGGCGAAAAACCCCACAAATGCACGGTGTGCGGCAAGGCGTTCAGCCAGAGTTCCAACCTCATCACACACTCACGCAAACACACCGGCTACAAACCGTTTGCCTGCAAACTCTGCCACAAATCGTTCCAGCGCAAGGTCGATTTGCGACGCCATAAAGAGACCCAACATACCGATCTGCGACCGCTAATCGAACGCAATCTCGGCGGCAAAGTAGAGTTCATGGCGGCTGCAGCAGCGGCGGCGGCATCACAAATGGGCCAACATGAAGGCCTGGCGCCACCCCTGGTGGGTGGTCATCATGATGGCGGTGGTGTAGGGAGTAATAATATGGGCGCTGCTGCTGCGGCAGCGGCGGCGGCGGCAGCAGCTGCATCCTCTATCAATACGCAATTGGCATCGATGAATTGTCAAAAGGTATCGTTGCTGGTATAACAGGCACAATAACAGCGACAACAATTGCAACTACAGCAACAACAACATGAGAGATTATTGGAGCAACAGCGAATGCTGCAGCAAAGCCTCAGAGTCGATTAGATGTGGATGCTGGGGAGAAAAAAAAAACAAAAAAAAAGCATAAAAACACTAACAACGATTAAGTGCAATAAGAAGTGAAACCAAATAAATACAATTATATATAAAAAAAAATTCCGGAATAAGCGCTTACGAAAAATTCCATGTACAGTTAATTGGTCTATATATATATATATAACAAAAAAAAAAAAACGCAGTTGATGCATCTTTTCATATTTCCAGTGTTGCCAAAGCGAAGCAAACGCTCTGCGCTTATTTTTTATATATTTTAATTTGTAAAAAAATTATATTATATAGTATATTTTTGTAAACTTAAGATTCTCTATAGCTCGCGAAAGAAAACAAAGCAAAGCTTGTTATCTAGCTCACCTCTTAGTTGCTTGCATTTTGTTGCTTGTATATTTTATAAAATTTTTTTTGTTATTTTTAATTCCTACAAATAAGACAGCTGCAGCTTGTAATCTGTAAATATTTGCATAGAAATTACCTTGTAATATACGTAGTATGTATGTATGTATTAAACGATAATTAAATTGTATGTATGTAATTGTAACTACGTAAAATAATATTGTACTGCAATTTCTCGATAAAAATACGTATGTATGTATATGTATGTAAATTACAATATTGGCTTCTAAATAAATAGTTAGTCGCGCATTTTTTTTGGCGCACACATACACAGGCAAATAAAAACATGCATACATACTTATGTACATGAATGTGCGATTGTGCTTGCGAAAGCAAAGAACTTTTGATATTATTGTCATTCCAAAGATTTAGTCTAATTAATCTAATTGTAAACAAAATGAAGTTTTTATTGTACAATTGAAATAAAACAATTAAAGTATGTACATTCATTTAATGTTAATTAATTGGTAATTAGCTTAAAATCGATAAAGAAACAAAAAAAAAACCTTTCCGAAAGCTACCGCTACATGATAAGCCGGGGTGTATAAATTTTAAGTAAATTAGCGTCCTTAAATTTCGAAATATTGAAATTTCAAGCATTTCTGAAATTTACCGGTTATATGAAAAACGGCCGTAATTTTAGTCCGATTTCAACAATTTTCAACGTTTTGCTTTTATGTGGCAAGCACAATAAGCATACCGAGTTTGGTACAAATTGGTAGAACGGTTACCGAGACACATATATGTGATCATAAGTGGGCGGTGCCACGCCCATTTTCCAAAATTTTATCACAAACATATTTCCTTGTTGCACCCATCAATTTTGAATAAATTAGCTTTAATATTTACTGATTTATCGAGGATTTCGTATTTTTCTAAATTACCGTTATAT